GAGAAAGGGTGCTCAACAGTTTGAACTGTTGAGACAGCAGCAGGCTGCTGCTGGTGGGTCGATGCACTCGCGTCGACCCGAGACCTTGAAGATTGACATCTCCAAGTAAAGGGGAGTCGAAGAGGACTCCCTCTTGAGATTACTCTTGCAGGTTTATCGAGGACTATACCGCGTATTCGTCCATTCTTTACAACTGAGAGAGGTGTAATGGTCAGTCAATACGAAGAATCGTTGTCTGTCCCTTTTTTTTCTTGGCGTATTTGTGCACAATCATTTTTGAGTTGTACGACTGTTCCAGACACTAACCTTTTTATAGTCACTGTACATCCATGGCCAAGGCCCAACATTAAGCTCCAGATAGCAGATTCTCACGTCTATCATATTAGTTCTCTGTAGGATAATTAATGAATGTCGTGTGCACATATTCTGTCAGTGATCTCAGAGGTTTGTTATACAGTATATTCATGAATTAAGGTGTAGTATTATTACGTAGACTTGATATTCATTTTAGCAAAAATGAAATATATTCGTATGCAATATTGTCCAATCAAAGTATTTGTTCAGTGTCTACTTAGCGAAAGAAAAGGGAGTGAATTTAACCTAAAATAAGGTGAATCGAACAATACCTTGGTAAAGATTGCTTATTCACTGCGAAAATAGTTGACAAACGTCGCAGTCAAGGTCAACTTCCATGTACGGCGAAGCTAGTTGAAGAAAGATGACCACACCACTGCTAAGGATGAAAACGGAAGAAATGTGGACCCGCGTTCAGGTGGCTTTGGTTATGCTTAGAATAAGATTGCCACGACGCCAACTCTAGGACACTTCAACCTCGACCAGAGAAGCCGTGATTATTGTCCCACGCGAGTAATGGGAAATTTCCGCGCCACGGGTACAGGATTAAGAAGGACTGCTGGTGCCAGTTATTTGTACAAGCCGAACGCTAAGGCTAATGAGCTGAATTACAGGTAATGTGGAGAATTAAAGTTAGCCTTGCTAATTATACTGGAGCACCTGTTTCATCACGTTGGTCACCCGACTCCTCAAAGTCTTGACAATACACTCGACATTGGTGGTTAGTTAAAATCTGCCAGCTTGCAAGGACGATTGGAAACTGGGTCGCTCTCTTGTCGCAGCGGAATTTGGAGATCGTTAAGTGTAAAAAGGTAAAGACCAGGTGGTTTGGCAGCCTTCGAGATAGCAAAGACTCAAAACGCCTGCTATTGCCCCTAAGAGCTGGTGAGGCAGACGATAGATCCACCTATCCCCGCGTGAAACCAGACGAAGACCGTACGTAATGGGTTTCAAAGGAGTCGGCTCGTCTTAAGCAAGGATGTGGGGATTTCAGCGCTATCGCATGGAGACTCCATGCGATAGCTTTCAGCAAAGTTAAATCCCAGCAACATACCCTCATATTCCGCCTCATTTACCATAGATGTATCCAGATATTTGTAGGCAGCTTCGAATAATTCCATGCTATACTCTCCATGCCATACTCTCCATGCCATATTCTCCATGCCATATTCGAAGCTGCCTACAAATATCTGGATACATCTATGGTAAATGAGCGGAATATGAGGGTATGTTGCTGGGATTTAACTTGCTGAAAAAGCTATCGCATGGAGTCTCCATGCGATAGCGCTGAAATCCCCACATCCTTGCTTAAGACGAGCCGACCCTTTGAAACCCATTACGTACGGTCTTCGTCTGGTTTCACGCGGGGATAGGTGGATCTATCGTCTGCCTCACCTGCTTCTTAGGGGCAATAGCAGACGTTTTTGAGTCTTTGCTATCTCGAAGGCTGCCAAAACCACCTGGTCTTTACCTTTTACACTTAACGATCTCCAAATTCCGCTGCGACAAGAGAGCGACCCAGTTTCCAATCGTCCTTGCAAGCTGGCAGATTTTAACTAACCACACTAATGTCGAGTGTATTGTCAAGACTTTGAGGAGTCGGGTGACCAACGTGATGAAACAGGTCTCCAGTATAATTAGCAAGGCTAACTTTAATTCTCCACATTACTGTAATTCAGCTCATTAGCCTTTAGCGTTCGGCTTGTACAAATAACTGGCACCAGCAGTCCTTCTTAATCCTGCCGGTGACGCGGAAATTTCCCATTTACTCGCGTGGACAATAATCACGGCTTCTCTGGTCGGGTTGAAGTGTCCTAGAGTTGGCGTCGTGGCAATCTTATTCTTAAGCATAACCAAAGCCACCTGAACGCGGGTCCACATTTCTTCCGTTTTCATCCTTAGCAGTGGTGTGGTCATCTTTCTTCAACTAGCTTCGCCGTACATGGAAGTTGACCTTGACTGCGACGTTTGTAATATTTTCGCAGTGAATAAGCAATCTTTATTAAGGTATTGTTCGATTCACCTTATTTTTAGGTTAAATTCACTCCCTTTTTTCTTTCGCTAAGTAGACACTGAACAAATACTTTGATTGGACAATATTACATACGAATATATTTCATTTTTGCTAAAATGAATATCAAGTCTACGTAATAATACTACACCTTAATTCATGAATATACTGTATAACAAACCTCTGAGATCACTGACAGAATATGTGCACACGACATTCATTAATTATCCTACAGAGAACTAATATGATAGACGTGAGAATCTGCTATCTGGAGCTTAATGTTGGGCTCTTGGCCATGGATGTACAGTGACTATAAAAAGGTTAGTGTCTGGAACAGTCGTACAACTTAAAAATGATTGTGCAAAAATACACCAAGAAAAAAAAGGGACAGACAACGATTCTTCGTATTGACTGACCATTACACCTCTCTCAGTTCGTAAAGAATGGACGAATACGCGGTATAGTCCTCGATAAACCTGCAATAGTAATTCAAAGATTTCCAGAAAAATGGATGACCTTCGGTGTCATTGGCAAGGGTGGGTCGACTGGAGATTGAAGTTCCTTCTGGTGGATCTCCAGTCCTCTACTAGACAATCGACGTCCAAGGTAGTTGACCTTCCGACACCTCCACGAGCTCTCGATTGCGCAGGTAGACAAATCCCAGCAGTCACACCCATCCAACAGCCGTTCCACCTTTGTGCACAACGCATCTTATGATTCGGTGGAGATCAGAATGTCATCAATATACGATCACCAACCCAGGGTTAAGTAAATCTACTGCTCTTCTGGCTCTCCCACCTTAAACAAATCATCCTACCCGTTTGTCTCTTCTCCTAGAAGAATTCGCAAAAGCATATAAAGCATTGTCCAAGGGTCTCTGATACATTTAAGGCGCCTTTTTATCCCAAATGGCATCCGCATAATTTCAAACAAATCCAGTGGGGTGATGAACGCTGAAATTCGTCTCGCCCTTTCAGTCGTATCAACTGCCCAAAAACCACTCGTCACGTCCGGTGATCAATACCATAATTTCCTTTTCAGGTCTTTCAATAATTCTTAATTCAGAGGCACGGGGTAGAACATGAGCTAACTCAGGTCATCCACTAGCCTGTGGTAGATGCACAGCATGATGTCCACCTATTTTTCTTCACAATAACAACGATTGAGATGGCACCGAGCGACTTAAAAGGCCGTATTGCAACGGGGCACCCTGAAGCTTGTACTGGTGACAGTACAAGCTACTTATTCTGATGACAGAATAAAGCGGTGCCTCGTAATTTCACGTACACTCGTACGTGCAGAGGAAGACGGTAAGAAGAAGCGAGTACTTGGTTAAAGTAAAAAGTAGAACTGTATTTAGTATAGTTAATGTCTGCAATAAATCACTATTTATCTTCATCTAACTATGTCTAAATACAGATGTGTAAATCAGTTATCTGCTCACCACTCATTGCGTGCGTCTGTCGTGGCGCGTCTTCGTTGGTTGATATAATGGCCTATATCAACCAATTAGGAACTACTCGTAAGTGCTACAGAATATTTGTCCTTATGACAATATTCTGAGAATATAACTCTTATAGTTATATTCTATTAACAATTTCTTATAAATTGTTATGTTTTGATTCACCCCGTTACATCACCCCCCTTAACCATCAGTCACTTTAGTGACTGATTGACTAAATGAATACTCGTCCCAAATCATTTGGGACAGGGTTTGCACTTGTTGGTCCGAGTCCACTTTCCAACAGTTCATCGCGTGGTTTACAAGCTCGTGCGGTGCGCGAGCAAGGCCGCCGAGAGCGCGTCCGCACGTCTCTGTGCGGACGCCGAAGCAGAAACCACAGCAACTGATGTCTCATCGGTTGCTGAAGCGACCCAGTTTGTGTCACTTGGTGATGCAGGCGCTGGTCATGAAGACACTCATGTCTTCACAGAGTATGAGCTCGAAATCTCATACTCTCCTGATACGGAAGACGGATTCGTATCGAAGGCGGTTGAAACCACGCCGCCTGCCAAGCGTGGCATAATATCGCAAGACTCGGGCGCTCACAGTGGTGTCGGTTCTCCTATGGGCACCACTTCGCAAAGAGGTGCCAGTCCTTTTGTCGGCACGTCACAAAAAGAGCGGGGCCGCAACGTGTTGCGTCTCGCTTCTGAGAAGAAGGCATGGATGCCTCCCAAATCTGTCATGGATCACCTGTCGGCGACGACGAGTAATCGTTATCGAACACGATTGTTCGATTCGTCAAGGATCCATCACCTTGACCCCAGCGCGAAAAACTATCGCGCTGAGAATGATTTCTTCATTGATGCTTTCTTTAGACATCGATGGTATAGTGGGAATCACAAGCGTGATGGTCCCTCACTGCTTCAAGCGTGGAACGCCTACATCCATAACCTTGAGGATGTAGGTCGTGACGTTTGGAACGACAAACTTATCAAAGCTCGTGATAAGTTTGGAAAGCGAACCCCGAAAGGTGCACGCTACAAGCTGCATCGTCTGTCTATGGAGGGTGGGTTACCCTGTCTCTCTTGGGGAGACTCGTGCCCGTGTTGTGTGAACAACTCAGCACGAGCACCTAAGGAGGCTTACCTCCTTACCAGCCCGTGGTGGCGCGTACGTATCTCTAGTGAGATGTACGAAGGGATTGACAACCTGAAATCCCTTTACGACCGTGCCGGGAAGACTTTCTCCGGCGGTCCTTCTGCGGCACAGGATGTGCCGCGTCGTACTGCTCAACCAGACCCAGTACGTCAACCATCAGTTGGGAGCGGGGCTCCCAAGTATCCCAGGACGGGGGATAGTCGCGCCACCGGACGAGATAACTCGTCCGACGTCCGTTCACGTCGCGGTGGTTCAACAGCTGCTCAACTAGATAGCGCTGGCCACCGCGAGAGTCCTCTAATGGAGGTGGAGGAGGAGGAAAGACGCTCTCCACACGATCATGGGGATCCGTGTGTTCCCGAGAGCTTCTTTGATCGCGTAACGCAAGGGTTACGCAACGATCTCGAGCATGGGCGGGACAGGCGTCTCCAAATGGGAGACACTGTCTCGAAGCATCGAGCTGAGTTTGCCTTTGCTCAGCTTGAGAACGAGAGATCTCTGACATCTCTTCGTGACGAGCTAAGGGTAGCTCGTGGGATTGTTGATCGGTCTCGGGCTGAGATAACTGCTCTTCAGACCCTTGTCGATGCCCACCATCGGGAGCACAAGGCTCTCTGCGAGATGCTTGAGCGCAAGGGCGTTCTTCATCGGAAGAAACAGCGTACTGATGGTACGGCTTAAGCCGACCAACGTAAAACGTGGGATGCGTTCGCATCTTACGTGGTAACTCGATCGTGTATGCATTGCCTAGGCGGTGCAATACACGAAATGGGCCAATGTACTTGGGTAGTAGTTTACTGCTACCCAATTTAGTCACTACATGCTTTGGTAGATTAACCGTTGACAGTAGGACTAAGTCACCTTTATTAAATAAAAGAGTGTTTGCCCTTCCATTCTTGTCTGCGTTTTGCTTTTGCTTATCCTCCGCTTCGGCGATGGAGTCTTGCACAAAACGGACTACCATTTCACGAGCCAGTATAAACTCATCTGATGACTCGTTAGCTTCAGTGCGCTGTGAGCGCACTGCAGCAACATTAACATTTTCTTCAGTGAGGGCTTCCGCACTCTCACTGGCATCATCTTCTTCGATATCGATGTTATCGATATCAGCATCAAACGCAATGACCTCTTCGTCAGAGCGTGATGAGCGTGAACCAAATCGGGTTTTGCTCGCGCGAGTCCCTCCCCCCCTTAAACCAGAGTTACACTCTAGTAAGGTGGGTACACGCGGATGGCGCAAGCCATTCACGTAAAACGGTGTATGTGTCGTGGACGCATGCACCGAGTTGTTAATGGCAAACTCTACCATTGGCAAAAACTCACTCCAACTCTTAAAGGAGTGTACGTATCCTCGAAGGATCTCTTCAAGGACACGATTGGCACGTTCCGTCTGACCATCTGTCTCTGGATGATCAGATGTCGACATCTTCAAGCGCGTTCCGAGTGATTTGAACACGGAACGCCAGAAATCAGCAGTGAAGCGCGGATCTCTGTCTGATACGAGTTCACGGGGTAACCCATGAAGTCGGAAGATGGTGTCAATAAAGACACAAGCACAGCCACTTGCCGTGATTGTCTCTGGTACAGCCACAAGGTGTACCATTTTGCTGAATCTGTCAACAAATACGAGAATACCCGTATTCCCGCGTGCGTCTTTGGGTAACCCGAAGACGAAATCCATTGAGATGGATTCCCAGCACTCAGCCGGAACCGGTAGAGGCTGTAAAGGTGCACGCAGTGAAGGACTTGACTTCACTCGTTGGCAGACTTCGCATGCGCGAACGTACTTTCGCACAAACTGATGCTGGCGGGGCCAGTAAAAGTCTCGACTCACCGTGAGATACGTTTTCTCCCGGCCACGATGTCCTCCTATACGAGCATCGTGATACTCGAACATGATCCGCAAACGCAGATCAGTATCATCTGGAATGACGACACGTGGTGTATCATCAGTAACGGCTGTATAATACAGTAAACCGTTGTGAGTAGTGTATCGATCTGATGCAGATCGATACGCAGACGATAATCGTTTCAACGATTCTCGAGATGGTTGGGAGAGATGTGTCAACAACTTCACAATCTCACTTTCCTGGGCGTATGCCCGCCTCACATCATCATATAACGTTGAAGATGGTACTGAGGACGTCATAACCGCAACAGTTGCTGTCTCACTGTTGGGTTTCACGACTGGTTCAAAGTCGGGACGACGTGAGAGTGCATCAGCGACGACATTAAGTCGTCCTGGTTTGTACTCGACCGTAAAGTTGTATTCTGCAAAGAATGAAAACCACCGCGCCATTCGTTGTGAAAGGTGCGGGCTGTTCACTGCCGTGCATAATGACGCATGGTCAGTGTAAACACTGAAGGGTCTATCTCCTAATAGATAGACTCTGAACTTAGCGAGTGCATACTTCATGGCAAGGAGTTCCTTGTCATGCACTGGATAGTTCCGCTCAGCTGGTTGCAGCTGACGCGACTGATAGCAGACGACGCGTTCAACGTTTTCTAGGTCTTACTGCATTAATGCACAGCCGATTGCGAAATCGCTGGCATCACAGACCACATGAAATGGCCTGTCCTGATCGGCTATTGCTAGGACTGGGGATTGTATCAAGCTCTGCTTGATACCATCAAAGGAGCGCTGACATTCAGCGTTCCATAACCACCTCTCGTTCTTTTTCAACAAACGAGAGAGGTGTACAGTCAGCTCGGCGTAATTGCGTGAATGCTTATGCAAATACGCCGCTAGCCCAAGGAATTTTCGAAGACCTTTGACATCAACCGGCACAGGCCAGTCAGTGATCCCCTTGATCTTTTCGGGATCCGGACGTACACCGTTCCTACCAACGATGCACCCAAGAAGTGGTATTTCGCTTGCTGCAAATATACACTTCTTGAGGTTTGCATACAATTGATGCTTTCGCATGATTGTAAGAACCTGTCGGACGCGGTACCTGTGAACCTCAACATCCGACTTTCCATCAATAGCTCGACTATGGATGAATACGTCATCGAAATAACTCGGCGCGAATTCTCGTACTGGTCTCAACAGATGTGATACACATCTGTTGAACGTGGCAGGGGCATTACTAAGCCCTTGTGGCATTACTAGCCATTCCCAGAGCATACCGCTAGGCGTGCTAACTGCGGTATATGGTATATCCCGTTCTCGCATAAGTATTTGATAGAAGCCATCCATCAAATCCATGGATGAATAGATGGTACTTTTTGACATACCATCAATGGTTACGTCCTTCCTCGGTATCGGCGTCTGAGCCGGTACCGTTGCAGCGTTCAAGTTTTTGAACGCGTGCACTATCCGCCACCCTCCTGTTGCTTTTCGCACACAGAAGGTCGGAGAGCTATGTGGGGAAGTTGATTCCCTCACATGGCCCACAGCTAAACGATCGGCAAAGAACTTGTCGATCGCAAGTACTTGTTCACGAGGCAGTGGCCACTGCTTCATGACACAGTACTTCGAGCCTGGTTTAAGCTCGACCTCGTGTCGAATACCTTTATCCTTCGGTAATTCGCACGGAACAGTTTCAGGGAATACATCCTTGAATTCAACCAAATCTTCATAGAGAGGATTTGTCTTGAGCGATTCCCACGATTGGGAGTCATATCGCTCAATTCGTGTCTTTTCATCTAGGACACTCTCGTCCATAGATGAACTACTGAGAACTCTCTCGTTCTCAGTAAACACTGTTGCTGACCTTATGTCGGCTACACACTCGTCGTCAGCGACGAGTACGCAGATCGGCTTGAATTTGCCACTACGCAGATCACGCAAGAACCTTTTTATGTTCGAGCGTTGGCAACTGAGTGATCTCCGAAGTCAACTTCGGAGGCGCAATCAGATCAAGTGTATAAGCGCCTACGCTTGATCCGTTATTGACTATGACATTCAATGTCTCTGTCATTTCCTGGGGACTTATTCCCTCAGGCCTCGAAGGACTTATTCGTTCGGTTTCCCGGGGACTTATTACCTCGCAGGTTTCGGGGAACTTATTTCCGCCGTATTTGTAATCTTGGGACTTATTCCCTTAACTTCCTCTAGCTGGGGTTGCGCAACCACAGCGAGATTTTCTACGAAAGACTCTCCAGTCGATCTAGGATTATCGTTTCGCTTAACCTGAGCGATCGATTGTTTCTCTTCTAGATGTTCCCCGCTAGGGATACATCTTTGTCCCAGTCCACCCGACTTATTCGAGAGGTGGACCTTCGGCGCAGCCTGTGTTTCCTCACAGCCGCCGGAACTTTGCTCCTAAGTGTAACCGTTTGGTACACTAAGGTTTCGTGCAGTCTTACTAACGACCGTACCACAAGTGAGGCCATCGCACTCACTCGTAGTACATCCACACGCTTGTGGACGCTCCAAAACGTTCATCAGATGGCCATCTGATGAATAAGCGGCAGGCATCGTTACTGTTCGATGTTGCCAGTTTACCCGTGGTTCGTACCTTCTGAGCCACGGTATTCCAAGGATGACATCAAATTTGTCATCCAAATCCAATACGATAAAGTCATCATCATATTGGGTATCTTCTAGCGTATAGTGGATCTTCACTATACGCTTCATGACGGTTACAGATGCGCCTGCCGCAAGACGTACCGTCATCCTCGTAGGAGGTATGTCACATTCACTAAACTTGAAGTGACCATCTTCTAGCGATTGGCGTCGCACAAAAATTGTTGGACGCCCCACAATCGACTAGAGCTCGAAGGGACAACTTATTTGTCGCTTCGAGTTTCAAGGTAATGAGTGAGACCTCATTACCTAGAGCAGCAACGCACAACGTATGTGTGTTGGGAGCAACCTTCGTCAAAAGGCCTACAAATTTTCTTGACGTTGCTGGACCAGTAGGGTGCTTCGCACCTACTGATCCTGTCCGTTTTTTTACTGTCCATCCCGTTGTTGCGTCTTTGCACCAACAGCGGACCCGCGTCCCTGCCCCTTTCTCACGGGTGGACGGTCACTACGCCCAGTGTTGCGAGACAATGGACGAGGGGCACTACACTCGTAAGCGTAGTGTCCTGTCTTTTGACATCTGTTGCATCTCTGCAACTTCTTGTAGTCTGTAGAGCGAGTCTTCTCGCTCTCTACATAACAGAGTTCCATCGGCTCTGGACCTCCGCTGTCATATCGTCTCGGTTGACGATATGATGTCGAGCTGGCGCGAGCTTGTCTTAAACTGAAGTCTTCCTGCTCCGCAATGGAAATGGCTTGTTCTAGTGAATCTAGTTCAAGCCGGAACAGGTGAGTCTTGACGGGACCATCCGCAAGACCCTGCACGAACACCGAAACCAACGTGTGTTCATCCACCGAATTGGAACTTATACAACTCGTAAGATGTCGTATATGTTGCGCGTAAGCGTACACGTCACGCTTACCCTGCTTGAGCTTCAAGAGTTTGGTTCGAGCTCTGAACTCAGCTCTAGGCGGTTCAAACGTTTGTCTGAGCCGCGACTTGAAGACTTCTAACGACCCAAACGCAAATGGGTCGTGCAACTTGAGCCCCAAAGCCCAAGTCTTGGCACGTCCTGCCAGATTTGACTGGGCAAATGCAACTTGCATATCCCCGTCATCGATGCGACGCGCCCTTTTGGCGTCATCCAATTCGACGAACCATCTCAAGAGGGAGTCCTCTTCGACCCCCCTATACTTGGAGATGTCAATC